GAGTATCAACTCCAATTCCAGTCACTTGTCCCCAAGCCACATTCATGGTAATATACACCATTTTTGGGCTCACACCTGGAAGTTTGCAGAAAGTGGAGTTATGCTATTGGTAAGAATATGGTGATGGAACAATAGTGTATTTCCACTTTCTGCATATAAACCCACACACAACCCACAATTCCTCCAATTGCTCTGATGAAGGGCTAACGCTCGAAATGTCAGCTTTTTCAGCCTTTATGCTAGCCAATTTATGTTTTCAACTCAGTTGTTAACACTAAATTACCTATTATTAGGAGAAGTTTCATATTGATCACCTCTGGGAGTTAAAAGGTTACAAGTTAAAAGGGGAGCTCAGTGTCATAGATTTTGAACCACTTTTTTTGCTTCTTTTTCTTCTTCTAGACTTCTGCTAATGGTTTTTATAATAAAGGGGGGGGACTGAGAGGGTTCTTATTTATAATGGAGGATATCAACCAATCTACCCCTTTTTGTAAGCAAAAAAGTGACAAGTGAAAGTAATAAAACAACTTGGAATAGCCCCCTTGATTCAGTAACATGCTAATATAAGACCCCCCTGAACCCTGTTTAACATACCTGATGATGAAAAAATTATTATCAGTAGCTACTCTAAAAAGCCCTAGTAGTAAGTTTTTAAAAAATATTAAAAAACTTTTAGTTAATATGGGGAGAGAAGGCCTTCAGACTATTCTGCAAGTTACTTTTCTAGTGAGTAAATTTTGTCAAAATCAAACTAACATAAAAATTTACTCACCTTCCAGAAGCCAACAGGGTAGATAAGTTCACCAATTTTGCTTGTTGATGTTGTAAGAATGTTCTCTATTGTTAATCCATAAGCCTTTAACTTTTCTATTGCAGCAAAAGTAACTTGGTCTTTTGTTTGACTTGAGAGCATGAGGGAGATAAGTACTTGATATCAGACTGTCTGCAAAAGTGATGAGAGATGAACCATTGATACTGGACTGTCTTAATCCTCTTTCCCCTAAGAGTGATTGGCTTCTAATTTCTCCTAACAGTTTCACCCTT